TATTGAATATTTTTTTTAAAATGAAAAGATAACTAGGTTGACTGATGAAAGTTAACAAATAAAAATCTTATTTACAGTTGAAGCCATAATCTGTAACTCGTTTCCCACAGAAAAATAAGATTAATTACACCAAATAATATGATATTATATATATATATTAGGCAGTAATCCGTCTTGAGTGATTACTCCATTTTCATTTTTTAGCTATGAAGTGTAATACATTAGAATATAATGATTTCATTATTTTCTACTAGTTTTTTGAGAACAAACTTCTGTTTGTTAAGTTGAATACTTCTGATAATGTTCGCAATTTGGGTATAATAATTACTATGATGACATGTCCAATTACATGTTTACTTACTTACATACGCCTGTTACTCCTCGTGAAGGAGCATAGGCCGCTCACGAGCATTCTTTATTCAACCGTGTTCAGGGAAATCCTTTCCACCTCTTTCCAGTCGTTATTCATCCTTTTCATTACTGATTCAATTTCCCGATGTTATGTGTTCTTTGGGTTTCCTCTTTTATGCTTCCCTTCAGGATCCCAAGTTAAGGTTTGCCAGTTACATGTTTATTTCCTTAAATTTTCCTTTCTGTATATAATTACATTCTTTAGAGTAATACAAACTAAAAATGATGCTTCTTACTATAGTTGTATGCTTTCTGCTTAAGATTAGAATAATCATGATGATAATAACAGTAAACATTGTGTGCTAATCTCAATGTGAAGTAGTGAAAATTTACAGTATATGTATGGTTAATATCAATATACTATAAAGAAGTTTACCATGTATCTATGTCTTTGATAAAAAAAACCCAGTCATGTTGTAACTTGTTTACTTATAATATATCCTGATAAATTCTTTCTTTTTTGCTTGTTTGTTTGTTGATTTAATTAATGGAATTCGTTTGAATTGATTTTAATCATTTTCATAATTCAACTTTTATGTTCAACAACAACAACAAAAATAAAACACGTCTCAACAAATGTAAAATAAAATAAAATTTAAAAAGAAAAAGAAAAAAGAAAAGTAGACAGTTATTATTGTTATTTTATTTATTGATTGATTGAACTCTTCAGTAATAAACAATTCCAACTACTTACAGTCTATCCCAATATGGGTCTAAATGGCTACTATGCATTGATATATTAAATATTATTATTATTATTATTATTATTCATATAAAATAAATAAACGCATAAAATAAACTTTATTTATGTTTGAATGGATCAGGTTAGTTTGAAACCATCTAGTGATTTTTTTTACCTTTATATGATCCTATTTCATTTTATTAGGCTTAAACATTTGTGATATTATCAGTATTATTATTATTATTATTATTATTTAAAATTCAATATTAAATGTTATAATATCCCACCACCACCACTAACAGCAACAACAACAACAAACACTTCAATTTTATTACTGTTATAGTAACTAAGATAAGATTAATTTAAATCCCTAAAAGGGATAATTAACATAAAATAATAATAATAATAATAATAATCAACTATCTATGTGTGAATTAACACCTTTCATAAATCTAACAAGTTAGTTCATGCGAAAGTTTAATTAAAATATAAATATTTTTTTAAGTCTATTATGTTTATTGGTGTTATAGTGGAACTTATTGTCTAGACAAATGATTGTAATAAGTTGTGTGGTCTGATTATAATAAAAAAAAATTTCTCACTTTTGATTGTTCAACTCTCATGGGGTTTTATTTTGAAATTACATGATTATGTATATCAACTTCAGATAGTTAGTCAAGTTCTAAAAAAGTTGGATAATTTACAAAGTAGTTTAACACTTGTAATTTGTTAGTAGTATTTATAAGAGTTTTTATCATCTTATTGTTGATAATTAAGATTATGAACCGATCAATGTTAGGTCATCATTGGAAACTTGAAAGTTGTTACATTATAGTATGGGATTCTGCGGCAGTCATTATCCATGATCCCGCACACGGGATTCGCACTCAGAAGCTTTGGCTTCGCGCGTGATTTCTGAACTCCTAGAACCATGATTCGGCATTTGGCGGTGTTAATGTCTAACTTCAACTAACCACTATCCACCACTGTCTTCGGTAGGTGAATTCCTCACACTAGACACGTCTGAACTCCACTGGTCAGGAGTTCTCCTTAGAACTCCGAGAATTACCTCTCAAAGCTAGTCACTAGTGAGCACATGATAATTATCAATCTAGGGTTGTGGATATTTATGAGTTTTAATTGAGATAATGAACCGATCAATTCTAGACAACCACTGAAAACCTGAAGACATTAGACAGCCATTTCTTCTAATAAAGGAATCCTCATGATCTCAAATAAACTTACCGATCTCCACAACCCTCTACTGATAATTAGGATTATGTTTGATTAGTCTGTGAAAACAAATAGGCTCCATGAAAAGATGCCTAGATATATTAATTGTAGCTTAAGGTTGATTGTATTTTCGACATTAGCTAGCATTTAAAGGAACATTTCATAAAATTTCAGCTCGTCAGCTAGACAATCAAATGCAATCCTTCATTTAAATAATTGGTGAACTACAAACATTTATAAATAATAGTAAATATCATACTCACTGAAAAAATTTGTGGCTATCGTAATTCAGATGCTCGGTAGAAAACGCACTAATGTTTTTAGCAATGAATATTCAGTTCAAATCTCAGTGTAAATGTCATAAATGGGATCTATTTTAATTCACCATGTCAGTTCCAATTTAGATGAAACACGTGTCATAGATTCCATCATCCAGAGTGGAAAATACTTGGTTGTTTGATAAAGTTTCAGTAGGAACACATAAGGATGATTGTTTGTAAACATAGTCTTTTCCTATGGTACGAATAAAAATGTATGTCTCAAAGTCCTAGGTACCGAATTTCTTTTGAATGATATATTTTAATTGTTCTACTTGAGATTTGATGAAAATATGTCCTGTATTTACGAAGGCATCAACAGTACACCACCTCATAAAGCTTACGGAATGACCAAAATTTATTCGGTGCTCTAAATTCTTCGTTATCTGACATGTAAATCTACTATTCTGAGGATGTTATTCATTAAGAAACTATAGATGATTCGACGTAGAACGCATAACATAATTCGAACAACATTATCAAACACTGTATGAAACAAATGTACATTGGAGACCAGACATTCTACATGATAGCTTATCCTACAAGGTATAGACTACATTATCGTACTCGTATGTCGGACCAAAACATGCTATTTAAGGTCAAGGAATTTTACGTTGGTAATGTGTATAAATAAATCACTCCCCGTAGTCCCCAACGTGGCTGCTCCAGGCCCCATACCAGAATAAAAGCGAGGCTAGTAACCCCCAACTACAGAAACGCTAACATACATAAATAAGTATTGCAAAATGCATGACTACCTTTGAAATATGCTTTTTTTACGTAACGCTAATTTTATTTTTCCTTTCCTCCCCCCCCTAATGCATAAACTAACAACAAATTTTGAGTTTGTACATGACAATGTAGGAACACATAATAACTTACATGGTATGAAAAATCTGAACTAAATAATGAAAAATTTCGGAGATGGAAATTTCTAGAGCATGATGTTTTTCAGTTATCAAACGACTGATTAAACTTGACAACAGCTTTAATCAAAATCTCTATTGTATAAATTAGAACATAAGTAAGAGAAGAATATTGCTGTTGTTCGCTTCCGTTTGTAGTTCAAAACTTATTATAATCCAAAACAGTTCAAATTATTCTAAGATATACTTAGTAGTATAAATCCTTTCAATTCATCTTTTATCAGGAGTGTTGGTTGAAGTGTATGATTTCAAATATTAGACACTTGTAGAAATTGCACTGCATTTAAATCAATATAATACTATTATACTAAATAACTGTGATATAAAGTGAATTTGTATTTATTATGGACCAATATCAGTCTAGACCACCATGGAAAACCTGGAAGCACTGAACGGCCGTTTCGTCCTAGTATGGAATTCATCAGCAATGCGCATCCACGATCCCGCACCCCGAGAGACTTCAACACAGGATCTATCAGTCTCATGCCAGGCGCTTGACTAACTGGACCACCGAGTCGGCCGGTATCCAACGGCGTTAATGTCTAACTTTAACCAATCCACGAAGTTGCGCCACCGTATACCATTGTCTTCAGTGAGTTCCTATCACACAACAGACCTGATTGAACTCCACTGGTAGCGGCTTCTCACTAGAATTACAGGAGTATCTCTTGAAGTCTAGCTTCAATTGACTCATGATTTCAACCAGTGAAATTTCTAAAGTCTCCACAAAACCCCTTCTAACGATATCAGTCTGTTAGTCGGGCAAGAAATAGTTATGAAATTTTTGTTATTAAACCCAAGACTTTCAACCCCACACTACGAACATGATACCACTGAACCGATCGATCAAAATTCAGTGGTTCACATTTCCAACCTGAATGTTCTGACTCTGTGTAATGGCTTGATCAAGAATTTCCACAGTTAAAGAATCTTAAGCTAGAACTAGGCAGTTGTCAATTATTTTCTGGTTTTTAGTGATTACCCAGTAAAATTAATTCCGAATGGACTAATGTTGATGAATCTCCTAAATCGATATAATTAATTGATCTAATTCATTGAACATTTATTTATTTATCTAATTTAAAGCAAACAAATGAAAATAGCATCATGCTTTATAATTTCAACAAACACATTCCATTTCATGATATTCATCACTATTTTGGCCGAGAAATGAAAAGAAATTGTCTGTATACCCATCTCACGTAAATAGGTTTATGTATGTAAAATCATGTTTTTATTGGTTATTTCTAGTCGGTAATTTGACAGATATATATGAATTGAGTTAGTCGAAAAACAATAATTCAATTCAATGTAGTTTCATATCTCAAGGAAATTGACAGTTAAGTTAGAGGTATATAGAGATGAAACCTACATTGATATTTCACTGAGGCAATGATAAACGATTTATTCAGCAAACTTGATCTTCATTTATTACTGAGAATACTGTACACCAAACAAACATACATAATTCAGTAGGTTATTAATAGTAACAGTTATAGTGGTAGTACTAGTAGTAGTAGTAGTAGTAGTAGTAGTAGTAGTAGTAGTAGTAGTGGTAGTGGTAGTAGTAGTAGTAGTAGTAGTAGTAGTAGTAGTAGTGATAGTAGTAGTAGTAGTGGTAGTGATAGTAGTAGTAGTAGTTGTTGTTGTTGTTGTTGTCATTTCATCAGTGAATCAACATCAACTTCATGTTTTTAGTACCCCATAAAGAATTTAACACCATGAATATATGGTTTATGATATAATCATTTATAATTTAAGTTTCTCATTTCACATCTCAATGTAAGGCTGATTTCTTAGATTAACTAGAAGTGGATTTTGTAGGCGATTAAATTCCAAATGAGCTCGATTGTTACTGAATGGTAATCCCTGAACTCAACTATCTAGAGTGATTGCTGTGTACATGCTCCGTGGTATTACTTAGAAATTTAATAAAAGAGTGATACGCATATTCAAGCTTAATTTGTCTATTTAGGAACAAGAACTATATCACTGATATTAAACAAATATTTTAAACCAATAACTAGGAGTCACTATGAAATAAATGACTGCATTTAGTCATCTAGCCTTAAGTAAAATATACCTTATTGTTTGCCTGATATATATATATATATATATATATATATATATATATAGTGCAATTAAAGGTATATCGAGGAAAACGAAGTGTAGTAAGCAGAAGAGTTGGCAATACCGAATTACCCAGTCTGTTGATGGGATCTCAAGCCTCATTAATAAACACTATTAACAATAACAACCGAATGATATGAGATTGGTTGCCTAGTAAGATAATGGCGTTATAACTCATTTATCAAGTACAGGATTATGTACTTGACCAGTAACCGCACCTGGCTTCCCAAACGGAGGTATACAATCCTGGATTGGAACCTACGATCTACTAGTTGAGATTCTAAATAATCTATTGATGCAATTTTAAACTGTTAAATTGTAGTTTTTATGTGTGAGGATTCTTTTTGTCTTTCTTAAATATATATCTTTGAGTATTATTGTCGATGGATAAATCTATAAACTAATGTACTGGTTTATACGTTAATGCTTGTAGTTGACGATGTGTACCATTGGACGTAAACCAGTTATCAAGTGGTTAAGCTCTTATCCTATGAGCTAAAGATCCCAGAATTGAGTCTTGATGATGTTGTTGGTTTAGCTTATTGAGCCACATATTAGAAGAAAATGAAAGTCCAGTAATCCTTGAGGTCAATCTGTCACAAATATCAATTACAAAACATGAAAATCATATTCTGAGAGTTTAAATTTAGGGGTAGAAAAGCAGAATTAACAGAAATGATATAATTCACACATGTCTTAGAGTTTGTGGATGAATAGAGTGAAAATAAACTTTGTTTGAGAATAGTTGTTACGTCTTACGTAATCAGTTACAAGTTTAATAGTCGAGATCATGAGTCAGTCGAAGAAAGCATAAAAAATCGAATAATTGCATTGATAATTATTATTATTATCAGCATTAGCAGTATAGGGTTGCGGAAATTACTAAGTTTTTGATTGAGATCATGAATCGATCGATGTTAGACCAACACTGAGAATCTGAAAGCAATGGATGGCTGTTTCGTCCTATTATGTGACTCCTTAGCAGTGCGCGTTTGCATGAGAGACCGGTGTTCCTGGTGTAGTGAACGAGAACACATGTAGGGACAATCGCATGTATTTCAACACAAAATTACAGAATATCTTAGTAAAATTTAAGAATGATACAGTGGATACTACATTTGCAAAATGTCAATCAATTTTCTCAGACTTCTCTGATCCTTCATTTCCACAATAACCATTCTTTGTTCTCGTTCTCTTTTCTTTGATCTTCTTAACCTTCTACCTCCAGGCATTTCAATTTCAATTGGTGATACATACTACATATATCTGTCGACATCACTAGCACACACCACACTGGGTTCGAATCCCGAGAGTGGGATCATGGATGCGCACTGCTTATGAGTCCCATATTAGGACGAGCTGACTATCCAATGCTTTCAGGTTTTCAATAGTGGTCTAACATTAATCGATTCATGATCTTAATCAAAAAATATTACCAAACTAATTTAACTTACTGGTTATCATTTTTTTCAGCATGGTTATTTTCTACGGGATGGACTTACTGATCCCATGACCAACCCTCCTCCTTTACTCAGGTTCAAGACTAACAGTAATCCTAGAAGAGCTACATCCGGAGTTCATTTTTTAAAAATATACATTTAAAGTATACCAATAAATTATACACTCAAATCAATTTTTTTCTAGTTACCTTAATAAATTAAGTTTATGAATACAAATTAATTATTTGCTTAAAAAGAAAAAAGAAAAAAAAAGAAAAGAAAGAAAAAACAAACAAAGAATTGTGAATTTTTTAAAATTAATCCTTAAGTTTTATTTCTAAATTGAATCTATCAAATGAATTCAATTTGTTTTAATAAATAATTCTTAATCTTTTTTAATTGTCTTTATTGTTTTAAATTGGACGAATGATACAATTTAGTTATCTTGTTAGAATGTATGATATATATATATTCGATATCTATATTATATTACTGATTAAATTATATAGAAGAATCATTTCAGTAATAAATTAACTATGTAAATCATGTTTTTTTTTCTTTTCATGATTTACCAATGTATAAATACTACAGTTATTTGTATTTCCCAATAAAGTATTTACAAGTCAATTACATTGTTTGTTTATTTATTTGTTTGTTTGTGTGTTGTTGTTGTTGTTGCTAAAGTTTGCAATTCTCAACTTCTTTTTATTTCCCCCCCTACCCCCTTCTTTTTTTATTCGTAAAATAGATATATCATTATAAAATAATGAAAAGAAATATGTTCCATGCATTGAATGTAGACAATAAGGATGATACAGATAAATAGTCTTTTGTTTATATACATAAATAAATAAATAAATAAATAGAGAAAACTTAAATGTAAATTATTACTGCCGATGAACTAAAGAAAGAATATTTACAAGTTTAACAAATGTCTCCAATGGTACATTGCTGTATAGTTTAATAAATAATTTGAATCTAGTAATTGTTTTCCTAAGAAGGAAAAACAGTAATTAAATAAGAACCATTTAAATAGACAAATAAATAATCTGGAAGCTTATTTATCTACTCTATATATTCATGTACATAGTTGCACTGTATGAAATTAAGCTTTAACAACACTGGAAAGTTATGAATATTTCAGTTATTTCTAGTATGTTTTTTTTGTATTATAAACTGTTTGGTATATACAGTTAACATTTCGAATTGTTTAAACTCCATTTCGTATTGACAGTTGACTCCTGTAATTTATTTAATTTGATTATTAATTCTTCAAAGAATTAATTTTTATATCTAATTACCCAATTGATTTAGTATATAAACAAACATCAAAGCTAAATTTCTTGAATGAATCGTAAAATAATATACTATGGTAGTGTGATTTTCATTTGCAATTAGAACCTTGTTAAGTGAGTTAATAGATACCATCAGATTTTAGGGATATGTGACCTCATTTCGATTTTTCTTTTTAAATTCCCAGTTTACAACAAACTTTTCGGAACTCTTAGATTGAACCATTTTTACTGATCATCAAGTTATAATCAGTTTAGATGGTGGTTGGAGGTAGTCAACAGGAAACCCTGGACCCATGTTTCATGCTACTTGGCACTCGTTAGCAAGGTGTACCTGTAATCTTGAGGGAACTGGTGCTCCCTGGATCAATCAATTGTAATTACATCTCAGTCCTACAGGAGGTCAGTCACGGCTCGGATAGCTCAGTGGTAACGTCTCTGACTGTGAAGCTGAGTGACACGAGATCGAATCCGCCAGGGAGCACCAGTTCCCTCAAGATTACAGGTACACCTTGCTGACGAGTGCCAAGTAGCACGAAACCCGGGTCCAGGGTTTCCTGTTGACTACCTCCAACCACCATCTAAATCTCCATACATAGTGCCCGCAGTGTCGAGTCACCTAGACTGGTGGCCACATTGCAACATGATCGATAGCATTCGATCTTCACTAATAAGGACTAGACAAGCAAGACATTGATCACCACCCAATGATCAATCAACTGTAGCTATAATCAGTCTAAGACTTTTCTAGCCAGTACATATTACATTCCATTGAACAAGATGCAACATGACTATGTGATTCGAAATCATATCCATTACATTTTCTGATGTTGTGTTAATCTAGGTTTAGTGCTACATCAAACTAATTATTTAAGCGTATCTGTCAACATGTAGGAACCGATGTTTTTTATAGGATTCAGATCCAATTCAAAACACTGTACTCATTATCCAGTCACCTAAACTAGAGTCCATATTATCATAAGAACTAGATAAAATTTACATTCGTAAACGTAAGTATTTTGTGATTTCTCGTTCATATTCAGAACTTCAAATAATTGGACTTTGTTACCATATGTGAACCATTAGCGGACTGTCTAAACATAGTCACAAATTTTACCATATGAACAAGCAGAGGATAAAAACCCTTTTAATTTCATACCTGTTGAACAACTTAGTCGCTTTCTGGACTCAATTACCCAGTGTTTGGTTATTCTAATTTACTGCCAATTATTTTAAATGTTTTTTCACAATCTTCCACATACACGTTGATTTCTAAAAATAAATAAAAGGTCTTACATATGTAACTTATTGTGTGATACGCATAAACTTATATAATTTACGGGGAGATTATAATTTATGGACGACTTCTGAGCAACGCCAAAATGACCTTGAAATGTTCACCAATTTACTAGGGTCAAATGAGGATCATAAATTAGTGTGAGGAATTAGGATTTGGGTCTACAGGTGAACGTTACGGTTGGAAATGAGGTTCAATGTATTCATCACGAACTGACATCACCTATAATGCCTAAATGGTATTTAGTCAAATGAGTAGATGAATCTTGCGCCAAATTCTAGAACCTGCCACCTTATATCTGATTGGTTCGCCGATAAATTATAGTCTCGCAGCGAAGGAGACCATTACTTAACCAGGTAGAAGAAATAGAAGTAAATTATTGTTCTTATAGCAAGTAAAATGATAAAACTGATAATAATGACTAAAAAGTGATTTTTACAAATCAGTACACATGTGGAAGATTCAGAACTCCAAAAATTAAATGAATATGGTACTTTCTATAAT